ATAAAATACATAATACACACGTAAATATACAAGTCAAAACATATTTAGACGAGCGTTAGACGAGCGAGACAAGCTAGACGAGCATTGGACTTGCCCAAGTTGCAGAATAGAAATCACGACAGTATCCGACATAAAACGTTTATACATAAAAACACTGATCGATGGATCGATCCCGGACGGCGATCACGCGGACGATGCCATCGTCGCCAGGGTGCAACGAGGTGATGCGCGCCAAGGGCCATCTCGTCGGTGGTGCAGTCTCACTTTTGATGAGGCATAAGGCCCCGATTTCCTGTGCAGGGCTCGACTTCAACCATTTTGGTCGCGATGCAAGGCTTTGGATGTACTCGCGAGCCCATCGCTGCCAAAAGTGGTCTCGCATGAGCTGCACGTGTCGCCACCGATTGAGCCGAGTGACAGCCGTGTCGTCGAGGGCCGTTTTTGGGATGGCGTTGAGCGGGCTCCCGATGAGAAAGTGGCCCGGCGTCAGTGTCGTGAAGTCGTCAGGATCGTCGGACATTGCTTGCAGCGGGCGAGAGTTGAGGCAAGCTTCCACCTGTGCGAGGAAGGTGGACATTTCCTCGAATGTTAGTGTTGCCTCGCCAATCACTCTCCGAATGTGGTGTTTTGCCGACTTCACGGCGGCTTCCCATAGCCCTCCAAAGTGAGGGGCGGAGGGAGGATTAAAATGCCAGCGTGTCTCCTGTCCTAAAGTGGTGTGCGCGATTCGACGTCCGTCGGAGGTGGAGGGCCGGAAGAGCTCCTGGAGTTGTCGGTCGGCTCCCACGAAATTGGTGCCGCAATCGCTGTATACGTCGCTGCACGTGCCGCGGCGTGAGGTGAATCGGCGAAATGCGGCAAGGAAAGAGTCGGCAGAATAATCCGACGCGACTTCTAAGTGCACGGCGCGAGTGCTCATGCAAACAAAGACGGCGATGAACGCCTTATGCGCCTTGTGTCCTCGGCCCTTTGTGGTGCGAAGCAGAATTGGACCAGCATCATCAGCAGAGTGCCGGCAATCAGTCTGGCGCCGGTGACGACCTCGAGATCAAGCCCGGCATCGCGGAGATGATTCGGGAGGAGGAAAGGGCCAAGTTGTTGGAGTCGTCCCACGCTTGGCTCGGCGCCTCCACCTCCAGTATAGCAGCAGACAGCTACCAGTACCAGCTACAGTCCATGTGGCAGAAGTGCTGGAACACCAACCAGAGCCTGGTGCACAACCTGCGTTTCCGGGAACGTGGACCCCTCAAGTCCTGGCGGCCGGAGACCATGGCGGAGGCGATCTTCAGCGTGCTGAAAGAAGGACTCTCCCTCAGCCAAGCGGCAAGGAAATACGATATCCTCTACCCGACGTTCGTCCTGTACGCGAATCGAGTGCACAACATGCTGGGTCCTAGCGCCGACGGCGGGGCCGATCTGCGCCCGAAGGGACGAGGAAGACCGCAGAGGATCCTGCTGGGCGTCTGGCCGGACGAGCACATCCGTGGTGTGATTCGCGCGGTGGTATTCCGCGACGGGCACTCGCCCCACATCGTCAAGGAGGAGCCGACCACGATGTACCCCAGCCTGGCGAACTACGCGGCCTGCAACGGCCCGGAAAGCGCGGTCAGTCCGGGTGCGGCAGCAGCGGCTGCGGTCGCGGCGGTCGCTCAAGGTTTGCGACACCAGATGTGCAGCATGGTGGCAGCGGCGCACTCGCAGCAGCACGACATGATGGCGACGAACCTGTCGACGAACCTGTCCACCAGTCTGTCGTCGAATCTGCAGGCGGCGATGCAGGCCAGTCAGCACCACAACAACAACAACACGAGCAGCAACGCGAGCGGCATCCTCGATCGCGGTTTTCCCTTCTGAAGATCTACGCATTGAAATAAGTGCGGGGCAAATTTTTTCGTTAATCATCTTGACACACGTATATGTCTAACCTAGTGTCGATTACGGCGATTACGGCGCAGAGATGTCTGCTTATTCTCATCTTTATTCTTCAATACCATCTGTTGAAGTTCTATCATAAAATTTTGTAACCGGCGTACTTCCTGCCATAGTTCGTGCCACTGTTGTACTGTGGCAAATTGATGGTTTGGTGGTTCCCGAGGTGGTTCCCTAATCCGCGACTGCTCGAGCAGCAGCTGGAATCGCTGCTGCTCGTTGTTCATTGTCGGCATGGCCGGCAATGTGTTCATTGCCGGCATGGCCGGCAATGGGATATTATATTGCAGATCGGGGAGTTTGGGGACATACGTGTTATCTGCAACATCTGATGATAAATAAGGTGGCTGAGCCATATTCCGAGAACTGTGGAACTGTATTTTATTCCGAACACAGACAGTAGTTCACAGTAGCACAGTTCAAGCTTAAATTATACATTTTTTTTTTAAATGAAAGAAAGTTACGCACGTTGCACGTAACTTTTTTCCACTTTTTAATACGCCACCATGAATGTCTGTACTCGATGCATTAAATTATGCGTTTTACTCGTTGATATTGTTTACGATAATCTTATCGTTGAATCTTTAATCGATTATACGCGTATATATCGATGCTGCGAGATTTATATCAATATTACTCGTATAACGAACTCCCTCCGTGAATATATCTTTGATTTAAGGTCGATTTAGACATAACCGTGCCGTGCCCGTACCGTTTACGGACAGAAAGATTTACTCTCGTTCACACGTAGATATCCGGCACCGGATTACCGATGCCGGGTATTCGATCGATTTTCTTTGTTTTCACTATCGGACAAACGTGTAAATGCTCCCATATTAATCCATACACTTTATGATCGGATACCCGGCGTCAGTAGTTCAGTGTCGGATACGTGTGAAACGGGGCTTAGTCGAATTTTATCCGTTGCATCTTCGAATATCTTTTTAACTAGTGGT